GTCTCCAAACGTCTTCTGACCTAGTTTAACTCATGAAAATAGGAGCAAATGGTGGCTCATTTTTAAGCCCTTTGATATAAGGCTTCATGTGTGATTCTACCTAGGAGAGGATGTGCAAGACAGTTGTTAATTCCAACAGGTAGGAAATATAATTTTTCTAAGATTTATTAGAATGTTTGTCTTTATCAGTTCCAATAGTAAATCAACACTTTTCTGACCTGACATCTATGTAAAGTTTTTTAAATTAAATATGAATATTGTTAAAAGGTATTCAGGGACTCACACAGTAGAAAGTAGTTCTTTAAAATTTCATCAATCACAGTCGTAGGTTGGCATACTAGTTAGCATGCTATGTAACAGCCAACAATTCAGATAGATTGCTGTGGGTTATGTTACTTTCTCACATGTTCTCTTCTACTTCCTCTGCATGTGATAAAGCTCAGAGGAAAAAGAACTAAATAAAATTCCAAGATGTCAATATTTGCATTGTGGGAAATCTTTTCTTTTCAAATGCATTATGATGATCACTAAAATATTATTAAAAACACTAATATTATTTTATCTAAATAATGCAAATGGCAAGGGTTCCTTGGACATGAGAAGGAAGAAGCAGAGTTAATTAGGAATTTAGATTTGATTACTAAGTAGGTGGGCAACTCAGGGTAAATTTCTGAATCTTAGTTTTCTCATTTAAAAATTGCAATAATTATAGTGGACATCGCCATGTAGAATCTCTTGTGAATAATAACCAATGGTTCTAAAGTCCCAGGATAATGTGACACTCTATAAAGTTGGGTTACTTTTTTAGTCTCCCACAGTGACAGGAACTGACCTGGATCTGTCTGCTGCAGTTCTGTGTGCCCACAGCACCCGCACAACGCTTGTGCAGGTGGGCCTGGTGGGCACCGAGCAGTTGTCTGATCTGAGGACACACTGATGCCCATGTAGGTCTTTGCATCTCTAGCACAATCAGGTGCATGGCTGAAAAACTGATTTCAAAACTGCTGTAAGAAGAAACGATTTCCCATGTCATGTTGCCTTTGTTTAATTAAGGTGCTAAGGAGGGATTCAGTCAAACATCATTGTGAAAGTAAACCACCTCTCTGAGAAAAATGACTTAGAATGAAAGTGTGATATTTATGAGCTGGATCATTCATCTCATAGGAACTAAAAATGAGCAGCACTGATGTCACTCAGAGACTGAAAAAATAAATAGAAATGAATATTTTCATAGGAAATAAAAATTAAATGATTTTAGCAAATGTGTAAGAGCACTATGGGGGTGTATCAGTTAGAAATATTTTTGTTATACATCACAGATAACCAAACAGATAACTTAAAGCAAAAAGTGGCAGTGGGGGGGGGGTGCATAGGGAAGACTTACACGTTCATGTAATTGGAAAGTTCCAAATGGTTGGTTTCAGGTGAGGCTTGATCCATCAGCTCTGTGACATTACCAAGGACTTCCCTTTCCCATAGTCTTCCCCATGCCTGAATGCCCTTACACAAGTCATATAATTTAAAAAATTTGTCTGGCTTCCATTCTCCATTCCTAATCAGAGCTCAGTTACCTTTTGGGGAATAACTTCTCCTTCACTGTGTTTAATCTTAGTGAGAAGGTAATTCCAGGCACCTGTCTCATTTCTACTAAAACAGAGAAAAACATTTTTCATCTTCCCCGAACCCATCTTTTCCCCAGCCCTAGAGGCATAAGCAGACGTGACTTAAGCTTGGTCAGGACAATGCTCTCTCCTGGTACTTTAGATCTTGACCAAGGTCCACAAGGAAGAAAGGAGCAAGGCAAGTCCATACAGAATCTTGTTAATAAGACACATTTGCTGTACTTCCCAGCCCCACAGCATCTCCTTTCCTCCTGCCTGCTGGCAAACCTGGTTCTCTGTATTTAGTCCACTGCTGAAACCACAAAGGCATTCCTCTTTGCTTAGGATGTTTGGATCCTGCTGCTTGATTGACAGAGTGATGAAGGATTTCTGGGGGTGGCCATACAGAGAAAGGCCTCCTCTCTCCTGGTCCCCATGGCTGTGTACCAAATCTTTTGATATGCCCTTATCACAGTACACTACTGACGTATCCATCTGTGTTCCAACCAGACTGAGAGTTCCCTGACAATGGGGCCTACCTTCCCTTATGCTTAGCCTAGCGTCTGGTCAATATTAAACATTTAAAATAATGTATTGAGTGAATTAACTAATTGGTGAATGAATCTGTTTGGAGAGAAAAAGAAAAATGCTTGTATCAAATAATTCTAAAACTTAAGGCAGTATGTTGCCGAGCACAAATCATAGGGCTTAAACAAAGAGTGGCACTGTGAGAAAGAATATTTTTAGGCTGTTTTATAGAGTTGTTGCACATTCTTTGAGGATTTATATACCTATCAGGACTAATCTTGTTTCTTCCTTGAAATTTAATCTGAAGCCTCCTTCAGATTGAAGCCTATGTAATAGGAGATAAATATTAACCATTACGCCAGCAGGAAATGCCTCTGATGTTTAGGTACATGTCTCTTCCTAAATGAAATCAAGTCCTGAAATTTCCATGTTGGTTTTAGCCTCCCAGCACCACACCGGGGAGCCAAGTCCTACCAAGCTGGGGCAAACACTTCATTTCCTCATCTCCTGAATGAAGGCGTTAGTCTATCTAGTTTCTTTCTCACTCCAGCACTCTAAAGATGTTCTCATTATTCCAGTGATTATCATACTGTCCACATTCTTCCCCATCAGCTTTCCTTCTCTAGTGCGTGATCTTTTAAAATCAAGCTGGTTTCACATTTTGCTCATCTTCAAAAGATGTCTCTCAAATGGATGCCCTTTCTTTAAGCACAGTAGCAAAAATCTTTAACAGATAAAGAATATAGCAAATGTTCACACATGCAGATGACATTTTCAATGTGCAAGGGGAAAAGAGACCATTCAGAAAAATGTAAGAACAATAGTTTCAGACAGAGGCTATTAAAACAAAAATCACAGCAAAACCAAGAAAATATGGAAATATTCAAAAGTTTTCTAAATAGGAATAATACATATAAGAAAACACATACTGAATTTGTATACCATGTCTGCTTTTTGGTTAAACATCCCTAGACATACATAAACAAATTCAAGTTGTCCCCTGCCAAATAATCACTTAGGAAAGCTACTTTCTCACACCTATGCTTAAAACATTTTTGAAATTCCTCAAGTTTACAAGAAACCAAGTATATGAGCATATACATAATATTACCACTTTACTCACCATTTTTCACCCAAAACAATACAACTAAACCAAAACATAAATTTTACTTCCAATAATTTAATAATTTTTCTAAAATATTGATAAATGAAAATCATGCATGTGACCTTCAGTTGCTGTGTAACAGACAATCCCCAAATGACAGGGACATGCAAAATCAGTATTTATGCTCACTCCCAGCATATCTGTTGGGTGGCTCAGCTTCAGGCTACATGAGTTGTCTAGGGTGGCTCTGCAATATGTTAATTCATTCTAGCACCAGATGCTAATGTAGTAGCTACTCAGGCATATAATCTTCTCATGTCAGAGGCCAGCTATTGCCAAGAACAAGAAAATGTGGTACCTTGAAGGGCTAGGATTGGTACACTGTTACTTCCCCACATTTCATCCCAAAACAAGTCCCATGGCCAAGCCCAACACCCTTAAGTGCTTCACATGGAGTTATTAGTAGATGGAGTGAATATTTGCTGAACAATTATCTAACCTGCCAAGATGGTATGAAGAACCCTAGAGGCATTTTCCAAAGAGGAGCGCCAAAAGTGATGCGAGTACTAGTGTATTGAAATAAGTGTATAACTACATAAGAGGACCATCCTGGAAGGACAAGTTTTAATTTGTTTAAATAAGTCATTTTTATGCTTTTTATAAAAGTCAACCTTCATACTTAATTGAATGCATCCAATTCATATTTATGCTCTATGGATGGAAACCTACCCACAGAGGTCCTGAAATTATCAAGTCCACGTTTTCTTAGTTTTTCTCTTTCATAAAAAAAAAAAAACTCTTTAAAAGGAGAAGCAAAATTACTAGAATCTCCATTCTGACGTCTCCCGGCTGGGTCTTAACAGGCCATCTGCACAGGGGTGAAAAAGCACCACCAATTCCCTGGAGGCAATCAGGTTTTGCGGTGAGCTACTTTGGACCCATCGGAGCCCTGAGCGCAGCCAAGTGCTCTTTTTAAGTTAGCTGCTCCTGTTCCATCAGCTGCCTGCCTGGCACATTGCTTTATCTTCCAGATTTCCATTTCTTCACCCATAAATGCTCTTCCAGGTGCAGATGGCCTTAATAGTATGACATCTATGAATCTGCTATATGCTGAATGTTTTCTGATTCACTGTTTCCTTAACAACTGCTTTGTAAAGTCATTAATTTTAGCTCTAGAAGTTTAACAGCTTCTATGTGCTGAAGGCTGAGAATGAACACTCTCATTTAATGTTCTGGGTTTTGTCTCCTGTAAAGAAAAAATTCTCCTGGGAGTTGCTGAGGTGATCGGTAATGAGGTGACAGTTTCTAATCTTAAATTCTCTTGATAAAAACCAAAATGTTGCCTTCCTTTGTTGGGTGACTCTGATGTGCCTACAAACATCAGCACTGGTTTTTGTTTTGTTCTATCTGGCAGTGGGGGTTATTTCCTAACTAAATTATCAATACTTTGAGGTATTCTTGGAAGGGTTCTTTGAAACCATTATAATATCCTAAGAATCAGAAGGTGGATTTTGTGAGGAATGGGTGCCCATTCTACCTGGCAGTCAACAGCCGGCACAAATCCTCTAAAATCAGCTTCTAAAGCAAATGGTCTATATTCCCAGCACAGCATGTATCTCATTAATTCTTACCTCCCCATCGCCTGTCAAACTCTTCAGACGGATGATAACCTCACTATTTACGGAGCACACACCCTATTCACCTCAGCCAGGTACATGGTATGAGTCTCCTGCATTATCTCATTTAATTATCTCGGCGTCCTCTGAGCTAAGTACGGCTGTCCCAGCGTTACAGGCGAGAAACCCGGGCCTTTCCCAGCTTTGCCAGCCTGTCGCCTCAGATTTGGCTGCTTGTGGGACAGAAGCGTCTGTCACCCTCCTCGCGATATTCCTGGCGCCTCACATCGCCTCCCGGTGCCCCGGCGGCCGAGCGGCCAGCAGGGAGCGGGCGCCCGACGGGTGCCCTCGGAGCGGACCCTCGCGCCATGGAGCGGCCGGCGCCCGGCGAGGTGCGCATGAGCCAGGCCGTCCAGCCCGCGCACGGCAGCCCCCGCGGGGAGCTCAGCGCCGGGCAGCTGCTCAAGTGGATCGACGCCGCCGCCTGCCTGGCGGGTAGGGGAGCGGCGGGAGGGGTGTCCGGGCGGGCAGGGGGTGTCTGCGGGCTGGGAGAGGGCGGCGCTGTGGGGAGGCGGAGTGGCAGGGGTCGCTGATGGCTGGGGTGCGGGAGGACCAGCCGCCGCCGGCGCCAGCCTGGGACCTGGGATCGTCGAGGACAGAAAGGAGAGCGTGTTTGCAGAGGGGTGAGCCCTGTGCAGGGGGGCCATGGAGACTGAGATAGCCCACCCAACACTGGGTATGACCTAGACCAGGGATTCTCAAACGGTTTTAGTCTTAGGGCCCCTTTACCCTGTGAAATAAGGGAGGGTCCAGGAAAGCTTCTTTTATGGGGGTTGTTTTTATTCATATTTACCATATTCGCAATTTTAAAAAATTCATTTTAAAAGAACAAGAAGAAACCCATGGCATATTTTTATTGAAAAATAACTATTTTCAACAATAATGAGAATGTATGACAGGCATGGTATTGGTTCACATTTCTGCAAATCTCTTTAATGTCTGGTTCAATAGAAGATTACTCCTCAGATCTGCACCTGCATTCAGTTTGTGGCTACCACGTCCTTAGCCTCTGCTCATGGCCTTTGCACCTGCTTTCCTTTTCGCCATTATACTCTTCTCTTGGACCTTTCCATGCATTACATCTCAGCTGAAATATCATTTTCTCTGAAAAATCTTTCTTGACCACCTCTTTACATTTGCACCCTTTCATTACTTTCATCACAATGGCCTTTCAGATTTCTTTCATACCACTTAACACAAACTGTAATTATTTTGTGTATTAATCTATTCACCTCTTTATTTCCCCCCTGTGCAATGAGCATGTAAACTAAAGCTAGGTCTCCAGTGCTTAGTAAACCCTTAGTAAAAACCTCCTGATTATATGGAAGAGTAGGTGGATGATGGATAGGTCCAGAACTTGGAATCTCATTTCTAAAATGAAGCTGGGATTTTCATAAGGAACGGACTTGGCAAAAGTCCATTTTAAAGTAATATATGTTAGGATAAAATATTAGAGCTGGAGGGAGGTTAAGGTCATGTATCAAAGGACACTGGTTTTACAGAGGGCAAAGGTAAAACTCAGGTAATTACAGAACCCTGCTTTCCCAATGAGCATGAATAGAGTTTTTAATTCCCTATGTGGTAATCACATACAGAGTTCAATCATACATCTGAAGCCAATCAGTCTTTTGTTTGTTAATAGGTTTGTTTTGTCTTAACATTTTTATCATCATTGGGTTATAATAATATAAACAATGAAAGCATTAAAATAAAATTAATCCATATGTAAGAAAAGCAAGTATAGAAATAATTGAGGTTGTTAATAATAATGTTGCCTGTTGCCAAGGCAACTGAATGCTGAAGTGACTTTGAAAGTTACTTCACTAAGTGCCTCTGTCCTATAATGGAAAAACGTTGCCTGCCTGCAATAGTCATAAAAATGTCTATGATTTTACTTCTTTGGAAACTCAGACCATAGAATAATTAATAACCAATTACTTTTGACCTTAATAGTTATATTACTAACACAATATTAAAGAAACCTTCATGATAAAGTTTGTTTGGAAACATGGATAATGCCTGTGTTAAACACTCCATGGTGAGAAGAGGCATACCATAAACAAGGGACATTATTTAGCTAAGGTAATTGAATCTAGGGCAGAGAAATGCTCCACTGTAGTGCTTTATACAATAAGAGTAATACAAAAACTTTTGGTTTTTCTGGTGTTTTCCTTATTGACCATCACATCTGTACAGCTGCATTACTATGATAAATAATGATCACAGTCATGGCCCTAAGACACTGCCATCACCACCAGGCACTGCTAGGTTCCAAAATGTCTTCTAAATATTTAAAGAAAGATTAAATATGTGCACTATCATTTTGATATTAAACCTCATTTATGTCAGTGGCCCCATTATTCTAATTCCTTAAGCCTAGAGGCTCAAAGCCATCTCTGAGTCATTCTTCATCCTCCGTATCTATTTTTATTTTGAAATAGCCTGAAGTTGTATTTCCCTCTCTATTTCATTTGTGATTTTTCCAGGGCTCACTTCTCAGGAATGGTACCCAGTCCATCCTATTATGCAAGTCAAAAATCTAGGAGTCATTCATCCGTGAGACTTCTTTCTACCCTGCTTCCCCCTCCACATATTTAGTCCACAGATGGAGTCCTATCTGTTTTTAAAGGAGACTACAAAACCCAACCACTTTGTTACATTCCCACTGCCACCACCTAGTTCCAGCTACTGTCATCTCTCATGTGGACTTCAGCAGGAGTTTCCAACCTGGTCTTCTCCATTCATCCTGGTCTCCTCTTGATACTGTATCTAAAGTACTCTTTGAATGTGTTAATCTGATCATGTCACATGGTCTGTTTATCTTTTCCCATTGTCATCCTTACCAAGAGCTATGAGGGTCCCTCTTCTATCATAGTAAGTATCTCCTATGAGAAAAAAATCTCCCACAGGTAACAACTATACACTCTGGAAAAAAACATTAAGTAAAAACTACCCAAGGCAACTGACAAGTGAACAAAGGCAGGCTTAGAATACTTGGAAGTCAACACTTGGAAGAAAAGAATGGTGGTACCTAACTTCGTATTTTTTTTTTATTACTTTAGGCTCAAAGAAAAACCCCAATCTGCCCCCAGCTAAATTTCTGACAGAAAACCTATAGACTTGCTGATTTGAAAAGACAGAAGATTTGGGAAAAACCCAGCTACTGGAATGTGAGGAAGAAAATTTGAGAAAGGAGAGAGCCAGAGAAACAGAATCCTAAAATCTATCTGTAATCTTTGCTAAAATACCTAGTGAACTTTGAGTCATATATGCCTAGGAAAAACTCCAAACTTACTAGCTAAGGCCAAAAGAACTGAAAAGGGCTGTTCCCATCTCTAGAGAGGCAGTTTTATAGTTTGAGTTTAGTTAACTGCCCACTTAAAAGACAAAACAAAACAGTACTCTTCGGAAGAAAATATATATGAACCTACAGTTTCTACAGTGTATCACCGGCTAAGATACAACCCAAAATTACTTCATATACAAAGAAATTGGAAAGCATGAGACATTCTTAAGAGAAAAGATAATCAATGGAGACCAATCCCTAGATGATCCAAATGCTGAAATTAAGTTTCAATGGTTTTAAAAAGCAGCTATTATAACTATGCTGAAAGATGTAATGAAAAGTTTATCATAAGGGATGAAAGCATAGAAAGTCTCAGAAGAGAAATAGAAAAAAAAACTGTAAAAAAAGAAACAAATGGAAATTCCAGAACTAAAAATTAAAGTATATGAAATAAAAAATTCACTGGATAGGCTAACAGCAGAACAGAGAAGACTGAAAAGAGTTAGTACACATAAAAATGATAAATAGAAATTACCCAATCCAAAGAACAGAGGGGGGAAATGGATTTTTAAAATGAACAAAGTATCAGAGGTTTGTGAAAAAAAATTCAAAAGGTAATTGGGGGGCCAGAGGCAAAGAGAAAAAAGATGGGGCAAAAGCAAAATGAAGCAATAATGGCCGAAATTTCCCAAAACATGATGGAAGACATACATTTACAGTTTAAAGAAGATCATAAAACACCAATCAAGATGAATATAGTGAAGACCACATCTAGGTACACCAAGTCAAACCTTGATGAAAAGAAAATCTGTAATTCAGGCAGAAAAAAAGCACTGTGCTAGATGCAGAAGAACAATGATTACGATTACCATTTATCAGAAACAAGGGAGTCCAGATGACAGTGGAACAATATCTTTAATAATAATCATTATAAAAACCGTCAAGCAAGAGCTTCAAGTCCCTGCTCGTGGTCCATCCTCATCCGTCCCTTCAGCTTTATCTGACATACTCTCTTTGCTTTCTGCACGTAGCCACAGACCTCAAAAGGACCGTTGTAGTCACCGCTCTGTCTGCTCAGCACGCTCTCCTTTACTGTGTTCCTCCTCCGCAACACATCTGCTTTACTCCCACTCATTCCTTCAGATCTCAGTTCAAGCATCCCCTCTATGTGGAAGCCTTCCTGCCTAGGTCTGGGTCCTCAGTTACAGACTCTCATAAAATCCATGTTTTCTTCATAGCACCGAATGCATTTTGTTATGATGTAGTCATTTCTTTAGTCCCTGGCTCCTGCACTGGACTCCATGAAAACAGGGTTTGTGACCATTTTGTATTCCTATTTCCAGCACTTCACAGAAAGCCTGGCACAGCATGAGTAGGTGTTCAATCAGTATTAGTTAAAGGAATGAATAAACAAAGGTATCACAATTTTTATCAATCATCATCTCATACTTGTATTACAACCACTTAGCTAGTCTGCTACTGTTACTTAGTTTTTCTCAGGTTCCCCAGGAAATCAGAAATAGCTTTAGGGTTTCTCCACTTTTATTAGCCTACACTATGAAGGCCAATCAAAATCATGAACCAGAGCAAGCTGGTTCTGTTGTGTTCACATCTGACACACTTACAAAATCACATAGCACATGGCCCTATGTTGGTTCCCCATATTTTCCTTTTTTCTTTTTAATTTTGTGGCCCCTGAAAGTCTGTAGTGAACCATGGCTATGGAGCATCTGAAGCCCCATGTTTCACCAAGTACTTCTCTAGGGCGTGTTCCTTGGCTGGTCTTTTCTGAGAGTTCCTATTACTTCTATGGTCAAAATTACTATTTAAAACAGTATATTTAATCTTTCTAAGCCCAAATTTCCTCATTTGTAAAAATGAAATAATTGTACCAACCTCTTATAATTGACATGCATAAATACTCAGCTCAGTACCTGGTCAATAATAAATGCTTAATAAATGGAAACTATTATTATGTTTCTTCTTGATCCCTAATACAGTCTAGTATAGTGCTATATAAGCACAGGATATACATACCAAATATATACCATACAGTTTTAGTCTTTTATTGGTTATTGCACTGTAGTTATCATTTAAGTCATTCAAAATTAGTAACTCCTGTTGGTGTATGTAGAGAAAATGAAAGTTCCTATGGCCAGGATTCTCACCTGACCCTGGTCTGCTGCACATGTGTGGGCAATACGTTACTATTGACTCTATATACAGATCTCCACCCAGTGCTCTGGGCTGCCCGGCTGCAGGAGAGCAGAGGCTGGAGTGGTGGTAGTGCCCAGGACAGAAACTGAGATGGCTGCAGGGGGGCAGAGAGGCCCGGAGGCCGAGACCGGCTTGCTGCCTGCAGACTTGCTCTGAGTGGATGGGATTCTAGTGCTTGACCTGCCACCATGAGAATAAAACTGGGTACAAACCCTTTCACCCCAAGAACATTCCATTGTCATTTTTTGGTCTCGCCGAATCAAGAGTGAACTTGCCCGAGGCTGAAACCCAGGGCTAATAAGTGGTAACATTTATTAGCAAGAACAGTTTAATAATCTCAACATCCTATTCCTTCATGTCAAGTAACTGGAATGAATGTATATTAGGTACTCTTTAGTCAACATTTTGTAACATATATTTGCAAGGACCCAGTAGGTTAAGAAAATTTTAAGCTCTAAAAAGGTGCTATGGCTGGATATCGACTACCACTGCATAGATTTACTGAAAGATAGAACTGATTCAGCTCAGCATCTGGTAATCAGTGGGAAGTATGGGGAAGCTGGGGTTCCTATGGCCAGGATTCTCACTGAACTTAAACAAGCTGATGATGTAACTGGCCTATTACTGGGCTGCAGCTTCCACACCCGGAGGCGAGCTATTATTGCGCTATATAGAGAGCTCCACCCAGTGCTCTGGGCAGAGGCAGAGATGCTAGTGCTCGACTTACCGCCCGAGATCAAGCCAGGTAATAAACCCTTTCACCCCAAGAACGTTCTACTGTCATTTCTTTGGTCACACTGAATCCATAGTGAACTTGCCCGGGACTGAGACCCATTGGCAAGACAGAAGTTAACAAATGTTTGATACTTTGAATTAAATTGAGCCCACCTTGAGTATTCATAGGGTCTGATACTTTTATGTTCTCTTCCTTTCACTGAACTTGAAACTGGGAAGCCCATCCTCCCCTCTCCATTACTCACACACAGAGTTCTGCTATGCTTAGTTTTCTGGTAACTTAGTCTTATTATGTGTATGTTTGGAAGAACAGTTATTTCCAATTAGTAAAACCAGAATATCCAATTTTCTACAGAATTAGATCACAGGGAGGATGGTTCAATACTTGCTCTCTGGAGTATCCTCTCACCTGTCTCTACCTGGGGCTGTCAATTAATATGATTGCAATTAAAGTAATCCACTTCAGAGAATGTGAATTCAGTGTAATTCATTGTCTATTTTTCATAATGTGGCACTGGGAGTAAAGTCTCCAAAATTAAAATGGGGTTACAAGTTCTTAAAAAGCCAGTGCAACTGTTTGAATTTTAACTGACTATTCCTTAAAATCAAATTCTGACAGAAGCAGCTATCAAAACTTCCCAAAGAAAATAAATTCTGGTATTTTTACATAAAGCAAAATCAGCAATAAAAAAAAAAGAATTCTCAACAAATTCAATGCAGACATGGAACATAGAAATAACGAGAGCTGCTCCCTAATCTCTCTCCACCCTACTCAGTACTCTCCTCCTCTGACAGGTGAATGCATAATGAATTTGCTAACAATAAGTATACTGCCTATATATCTGATTTGGGTATGATCTCAGGGTCTCCCATACTGTTCAATGCCCAGACTGTGAAGTGGTTTAAATATGTTCAGCTGCTGCTAGTTATATGGGATAATGGATACAGCTTTGATGCATTGTTCTCAAAACAAGACTAGTACCTGACAAAATACTTAAAGTTGGCACCAACTTCTTAAAATTGTTATTTAAATAGCTAGATATTCTGAGTTCTGGTACTGGGGTACCAAGAACAGTTTAAGTTAAAACTTGGAAGATAGTACAGTAAGTTCCATGCAGTAGAAATAAAACTTAGAAAGCAAAGGAATTGTTGATGCAATCATCCAGAAGTGAGGGTATTGTAGTCTTATATTGAATGAGAGGATGAGTTACTAGAATAAAACCACTGAAGTTTTATTCCTTTCCTTTATGCTGAAATATTCAAACATAACTACTAATGCAGCATATTTTTACCTATTTTTTGAAGCTGAAAAACATGCTGGGGTTTCCTGTGTTACAGCCTCAGTGGATGACATACAATTTGAGGAGACAGCTAGGTAAGTGGTATTGCCCTTTCATACCTTTGCCTGGGTTTATTGGTTCATTTGCAACATATATTTACAGTACCTAAGCTTATTTATTTGGAGTCAGTGATCCAATTTGTTAATAAAATAAATAACAATGGACCCAATGTAAATAAGTAAAAAAACTAATAATAATTGCAGCACCTACTTTTAGTAAACAAGTATAAATTCACAGTCCTATTTTGTTGGGAAATAGTTGTCAGAATTAGATGCATTTTAGCATAAGGCACAGTACAGTTTCTAAAAAGCTGATTCTTAATGGCCACTTCCTGTACCAGAAGAATAATTAATGATAGTAAGTATTTCTGTGATGGTGAATTCTGTAAGTAGGCTGTTGGGTAAACATTAATTCACCTCCTTAGAGTTGTTAAATTATGAAAAATATTTTATGTGTGGAAGTGTGTATGTTCTTTACCATCTCTTACTGTGTAAAAGTTCAAGATACACAAATACTTCACACATACACAAAAGTAGAGAATTATACAGTGCATTCCCAAGGACCCATCCCCTAACTACAACAATAAGCAACTCATGGACACTCTTGTTTTATCAATACCCTTCCATACTCACCACACACCTGGATTATTTTGAAGCAAATTCCAGGCATCATCTATAAATATTTCAGTAATTATAAAAGATAAGGGTTCTTTTAGAAAATATAATGACTTCAGTACCATTAACAGAAATGATCATTCCCACTGGTCCCCAAATTTTTTTTAAATTTAAATGAGTTATTGAATCAGGATCCAGCATGGTAGCTATATCTTTTAGCATGAAAATTTCCCTTCCTTCTTTTCTCTTGCAATTTATTTTTAAAGAAACCTGGTCATTTGTGCAATATCATTTCCCACGTTTTGTATTTGCCCATTGTAACCCTGTGTAACATGTTCCTCTGCCCTTTTGTATTTCTTGTCAACTGGTAGTTATATCTCAAAGTTGATCTGAAGAAGGTTTGATGTTTTGGTGAAACCCATTCCTGTCAGGAGCATGTAATGTTAAGTGATCATTATCTAGATTCATTATTTCATTAGATATTGGTAAAATGGTTATATGCTAATCTATTATTTCTTCTTCATTTATTTTTCCAGAATATTTGTATAGAGACCCTTTATCTCATTAATTACACAGTTACCCAGGAAAGTTTATCTGGGAAACACAGGCTACATCTTTCCTTTTTTCCCCTGCACCATTCCTTCTTTTTATTTAATATCGTTATGAACCTGTGGGTTTTAGCTTATCGGATGCATTTCAGTTCTGGTGTGATTGCTCTCACGGGTGCTCAAACTGCCTCATCTTTGGACAGTGGGAGCTTCTTCAGTTTGATTCCTAAGTTCTTGGTCATGACCCCAAAGGTAGAAATCTTTAATAATTCCTTTGCTTTCTGGTATGACAAGATGTACTCATCTTTTATATTTTCTCTCACACAAATTTAGAATCAGAAATTTCTTCAAAAGAAATAAGAAGTAGACATCACAATCTGGACAGCAAAGGTGTCACTGAGAAAGAGTTGGTCATTTCAAGGCCTTTGCAGTGGAGAGATTTAGGAATTTGTTTCTTAAAGAGTGTATGTTAATACCTATAATAAATTATAATTACATGGTTTTACTTTGTTTCTTTGATTTTTATGTTAATAGCTGTTTTTAAAATTTTTCTCTTACACTGAATATTTTGATCTTTTAAGACATGAGCATAACTGACAAGAAAAAGAAGAAATAAAGTCACCTGTTTCTGGTCTGGGATGGTTCTCAGAGACCATGGGCTAGTTGCCACCAGTTTTCAAACCCTAATTAGTCTTGTTCCATGAAATGCCCAGTTCATCTCTCTAACCTTACTGCTTCCATTTATCTATTTGGCATTTATTTATTAATATACAAATAAAATTAAGTTAAATGCATAAAGAAATAACTTCAAAGCTAACCCCAAAGAAATTTTTTAGCAGGAATTACAATCATGAACATAGACCTTCAGAGCCCAGCCCAATCATTTCTTTGTACTGATGAGAAACAGGCCTAATACCCAGAGCCAGCCAGGGAACAGTGGGTGCTTAGAACCTGGATCTTCTCATGCTTAATCCAGTGCTTTCCCCACCCCACTGCTTCTGGCTTCTGGCTTCAGTGTCACTGAAAGAACCCTTGACATTCTAGCATCTTGTAGATGCAGATAAAAGTCCACTGACTAAGCTTATGTGCTAGCCATGTGATTTTTCCATGAAGTAGAAAAAAATTGCCATGTATTTGTATCTCAGCAAAATTACAAATTACTGTAAATCCAAACTTACTTGGGAATAGAGTAAAGCATCATTATTAAACTTATGAATGCTAACAGTAATACAATATCTACTATGTACTTTCCAATCCTAAATTTTGTAACTAAGACTTAACTAGTAACCTCAACTGAAATGTGACTTTGTCATTTTATATCATTTCATTTTTGTGTTGTCAGGAAGGGTTTGTGGCCACTAAAATCATGGAAAATGAATTTAAATTGTATTTTTAAGATGGGACCTGCCCCATAAAAAAAGAAAGAAAATTGAAAGCTACATATAGAAAGCCATACAATTTGGTTATAAGCCACATTAGATATTCTTAAAATTCACAAATATCTATTGCTTATACAAAAAGTACTGCTCTAGGCTCAGTAGGATATGTGAATGATTGTGACACAATTCTAGAGTGGTGGTCACTCAGTCAGTGAGAGAGCCAGACAAATACATAATCATCAGAATAGAAAAATAAGATGCATGCCTAGGATAAGAAATAAACTCAGTTCTGTGGGGTAGTGAAAAGATACATTTTGACTGCAGAATCAATGAGTTTCATGATAGAGGCAGCATTTAATGTGGACCTTAAATGCAGTATAGGGTTTCATCTGTTGAACAGGAAAAGGACTTCACAAGATGAGGCACCTGTAAGAGCTAAGCACCGAGGTGGGAAGGAGTAGGGAGCATTCAGAAAAAGTCTGATATGCAGAGGTGATGCCCCAGCAGTAGACTGGGCTGTGTAACAGAGGCTTTGAATGCAGGCTGTGGAACTGGTTTTATTTAGTTGGAATTTTAGTCATTCCACTCACTTGACAATTAACATCAGGAGTTTGGTTTGGTGGAGAACCAAGTCATACAGAATTCTATTTTTAAAGGCAGGGCAGAGTTTACAAAAGAAGCAAAGAAAACTGGCAGTTGCTTCCCCTCCTCAAAGTAGGACAGGCAGAGAGACATATGATCTTAGTAGTAAATGAGTACAAAGTACTACAGCAGCTTTGAAGAGGGTCTCTAACTCTGTCTGGTTCCATTACTGTAAACCTGCTAGAAACTTTACCAAACAAAGCTAGGAGTTCTAGGAGGAATAATTTAAGGAAGAAAGAAAATTGATTTGGGTTTGCATATGCAAAATATGGAGATTAAATTAAATTAGGTAATGTGTCTGGAAGCAGCAAACACTGAGCCTACTAGTGCCTCCATAGCTAGCAGTTGAAAATTTTGAAAATATGGCTCTCAGTTTCAAGAATAAGGTCCAGGTTAAAGATGTAGATTTGAAAATCATCTCTGTAAAGATGATAAGATCATGGAAGACAGGTAGGTGTTCCAAGAAGAGGGTGAAGTGAGAGGAGAATATGACAAAGGATGGAAGTTGAGGAGATGTCTACAACTAAAGGATGGATTAAGGAAATCAGTGAAGGAAACAGAATGAAGAGAGAACAGTGTTTTAGAGGCCAAAGGAATAGAAAATTTCCTGAAGAAAGGTGGGTTGGTGCTGTTAAATGAGATGACATGTAGGATTTAGCTGTTAGGAAGAGACTTTGGGGAGATCAGGAATAGAATGTGGAGGCACCAGCCAGATCCAGGAAGGAAGTGGGAGATGAAACCCACTAATTTCTGCATGTGGCAAAATCCTGGTCTTTGAAGACCCATCTCAAACATCCGCTCTATTATGACTCCTTCCCTGACTTTCTGAATTTGTCTTTCTGATGGGTGCCTTTGCAGCACTCAATCCTTTCTTTTTTTTCCAAAAAATTGCACAGTCTTACACTTCATCCATTTATATCCTGGTGTCTCAAGTGAAGGCTGGTCCCCTTGAAGACCTTCACTGTATCCTGAGATCTTAGCTTAATGCCAGGGCTAGTTATAACTCAGTAAACGTTTGTTAAATGTATGAGTTAGAAAAGAAATGATTATTTTAGGAAGTTTGACTATGGAAGAGAAGAGAAAGTATCTTGACATAGAATAGGCCTGAGAGAAAGATTTTTCGAAAGAAGCCTTGAACATTTTTATAGACTGAGAAGGAGTCATGGAAGGGATGGAGACTGACCATATAAACGAGGGAAGAGCTGACTGAGCCAGCAGATGTGGAGGAGGAGGTAACGGGATGGGATCAAGGGCACAGGTAAAGAAAGGTCTGGAAGGGATCTGACTTCCTTCCCCTGAAACAGAAGAGTGAGAACAGCAAGAACATAGTTCAACTTTGAAAGGAAGAGGAGGAGAAAAGTAATTAAAGAGGCTTAATTGGATAGATCCTTACTTCTGCTAAGGTGAAGGGATCAGAGATGACTGAGGGACCTGAACACATAAGGTTTGGAACAACTTTGGGTTGCACATCAAAGTTCCAGTAATCACGGGGACAGAATGGATCATTTAGCAGCCCTGAGCGCCCATGTAAATTTAGTGAAGCTGAACAGTTTGCTTGTTTGTATGTTTATCTATTTATTTGTTAACCAAGGTCTTAAAATCAGTATCAGTTGCATAGGTTTGCTTGTGTGTTTGTGGTTCCTTCTTGTACGGTAACAGCTGAGATACAGTCCAAGTATGTGTTGCAGATTAGGAAGTCTTTCTGCACACCATCTTTGCAAAGGCCTTTTTCTGTCTAAATAGAAGCAGTCAGCTAATGTGTGGTTTACAATGATCAGCATCTGTTTTTAGCACTCTTTTTATGTTATCATTAACCTATTTTCATGCATGGACATTATCAGCATGATATGGTGGGATTGCTCTATGGCACATGCATTTAAGTGAATCTTCAAGTCTGAAGTCCTTTTCCCCCTCCCCCACTTTTTTCTTTTGTTTACTAGAGTTGGACAAATTATTACCATCAAAGCAAAAGTCACTAGAGCATTCAGCACAAGCATGGAGGTAAGAGATCTTTTTACTTACTTCTGCCTATTGGTGCTCATATCCTCATTGCGTATAGAGGGGAGAGGATGAGGCCTAGAGTAATTTGGAGTTCATGGGATTCTTAATTTCAGCAATCCTTGATTCTGTAATCAGGCTCACGGGTAAAATATAAGGAGCCCATGTTTCCCAGTCAACTCTGCTATCAAAATTAACTGCGAGGTAATTTTTACATAGAAGGATACAGAGAAAGTAAACTTGCAGGGTACTCTCTTGGTTCTTTGCAAGGAATGGATTTTATTTCTTAATTACTCTGACCATACTTGTTCACCATCTTCTCACCCCCTAGTGGAAACTATCCCCATAATTAACTCGTTTTTGAAAGGCAGGATAACTGAAGTAAGATGGGAATTTTAGAAGGTTTTTCTTCATCCACTTGCCAATCTAGTTGCCAATACAGCAGTCTCAGGGGCTTTTAAAGTCTCTACCCAGTTTAAATTAGCAGGAAATGAATTACTGGACCCCATAATCCCCGCTTCTAGCTCAGTCAACAGCAGCCGCCTGGATCTCTAAGCACAAAAGACATTAAGGACATACTCGTTTCCTAGGACGACCATAATGAAAAACCACAGCCTGGGTGGCTTCAACAACAGAAATATAGTGTCTCCCAGTTCTGGAGGCCAGAAGTCCTCCAGAACCAAGGTTTCAGTAGGGTTGATTCCTTGTGAGGGCTGTGAAGAGACCTTGACCCCAGTTCCCTCTCCTGGCTTCTGGTGGCTTGCCAGGAACCTTTGGTCTGTGGCTTCTGCCACATCACCCCCATCTCTGCCTTTATCTTCACATGGCGTTTTCCCAGTGTCTGTGTCTAAATTTCCCTTTCCTATAAGGATATCAGTTATACTGGGTTAGCGGACCCACCCTACTCTAGTATCACCTCATCTTAACTCTTTACATCTACAGCCACCTTATTACCAAGATAAGGTCACATTATAAGGTACTGGATTGGGAGGGGGACACAATTCAACCCATATTCATAATCACAGAACTGCTCTGGCAATAACCACAACCCTGGTGATGACTTTACCCTGACTCAGTCCCTTTTCCCTGGTACCCATGTAAACTGAATATGAGACACCTGAAGGAGCCAGAGAGGTGGTGTTCCGTGGAGACAGCTGTGGTGGCGCTTCTGGGCCCTGACTTCTCGGCTGCAGAGCTCTCGCATTGTAGCCTCAGGGCTTGGCCTCTCCTGAGGGACAGTAGGCCCCTTTATATTCAGCCCTTACTTGGATAAAAGGTCCTTCTATTTTTTCTTTCCTTCATATTCCCTGAGACAAGCTAGAATTTCCAAAGGAGTTTAACTAAAAGCTTAGAAAAGGGAAGAAAAAAGCCTGTTGAGTTTGAAACCATAGACTTCTGATCTTAAGAAAAGTAAATCCTAGCCTCAACTAGGGCTAATTTATCCCCTTCTAAGTCTTCTGTGCCTTCTGTGCATGAATGTATTGTGCATTCAGTGAGGTCTGGCTGGAGGGAATTCCAAACGTTTTCAGCTCTGTGGGAGCTCTCGGAATTGTTCATGTTACAGTTTTCCAATAATTGTTTCTTTCTCAAATGTTGTTCTCACCTGGCCTTTGAGCTTGCTCACAACTGCTGTCAAACCAAACATTCAATGGGACAGTACACATATTTTCGGAATTCTTTCCTTTTGCAGCTCCCTTCTTTCTAGGACTGCCTGAGAATCTCAGCTGCCTTGATCTCTTTGACTTCTGGCTCCTCATTTCAGCAAGATTGGGTTTCCCCTCCTTGGCCCTAATCTGGGAATTACCTGCAGGCCTCGAGCTCAGAGAAATGCAGGTGCTCCCCTCATTTGTTCCCCTTTCCTCAGGGACCACAGCTCTGTACTGCTTGTTCTTCTGTGTGTGAAGGCAGTCACCTCCTATACTTGGTCCAGTTTTCTAGTTGTTTTCACAGGATGTAATTCCAGTCTGACAAACTCTCTCATGATACAAAATGAAATTCCCTCTGGCATATCTTTTTGAAACATTTGGTCATCAGACATAATTAAATCAACTGTTCTAATAGAAGACAATGTTCAGACCTTGTTTGAACTCTAGAATTGTTGCTTTGTTTTTACGGTTAGCTGTTTCATTCTATTTTTCATTTCCCTATTTCTCTGAAAGTGCAAAGCTATGTGGAGTTGAAAGTTGTTGGGAGTTGATAATGGATGGTTTAACTGTGTTTAATCATCATCTCATTAACTTAGGTTTTACTATGCAAATACTAATTTGCATTTATAAATTAAGTGACTTGACATGACTCATGGATTATTGATTATTTTGTACATGATATACTTGGTGACGATGTCAAAATAGATATTCTTTACTGTTGATAACACAGTGTTGCCTTAAGATGCCTGAGGTTGTCCATTATTCCAAGTAGATAGTGTTACTTATCTGGAATATGTGGAGGAATGTTTATTAGCCAAAAGTCTAATGACAAGTTCCTGTGTTTACTCACACTTCTTAAAGTGTAATCCAAGGACCCAAGCTTCAGAGCCCTCCATGCAGGGAAATCCAGTCCGCTATAGTGCCACCGTAAAGTGTCAGGACCACCTTCTTACTAGTCCTGAAAAATAAAACTCCTGGAAAAAGAAACAAAGCTATAGATAAAATCATGAATTCTGTCCACGTTAACTTGGTTTTAAAACTAAGAGACTAAAGATTAGAAAAAGTTGTGGTGCATCCCTCTAATGGGTTGCCATGAGGCATTCATTATTATCTTTTTTCCTATGTATATTTACAATAATGGGATTAGAAAATGCTTATCACAAAGTAACAATTTAAAAAAATTATAAAGCTGTAAACACAGTATGATTTTATGTATATGTATGTGTATACACACACACACATTTCATATACATATATACATAAATATGTGTAACTGGAAGAAAATTCACCTAAATGTTAGTAATTATTAATCTGGGTGCTGAGATTACTGATACATTTACTCTGGGTAGTCAGATTCCATTTCTATCATTAATCAATTTTTTATATTTACCAAATTTTCCATGGTAAATATCTATTTTTCTATAGTCAGAAAAAAAATTATTTTTTCAGTTTTCATTGAAAGAAAACTGGAAAATAAATAAATTAAAATGCTTGTTTCCTTCCCAAAACAAAGGAAAAGAATGATGACATGCACAACTGAATATTGAAAGCTGCAGTCTCATCTGTTGTCTGAATGGCTGAAAGTTTATTTTCTTTTCATTTTAGATCAGCATCAGGGTCACGGTACAGGACATGTGCACTGACGTTGAGAAACTTGTCAGTGTGGCTTTCTGTACATTTGTAGCCAAACCGGTTGGAAAAGAAAAGGTAAGTTTTCTGTATGAAGAGATATCTAACATGTGCTTCAGGAACATATTAATGATTACATCAGAATTATTATGGAAAATTTCTTCTTTCCATGAGGTCTGCTTTCCCAAGAATTGTTGTTCACCAGTATTTATCATAAAAGTTATCATTCTGTGGTAATAATCATAGTATTAAGTACTTTAGAGAAGGAGATGTAGCCAATTTGGGAAAAAGGAAGAGAACACACTTTAAATGATCTGAAGGTTATACCAGTTTCTCAAAAATACTGCTTACTGGTTTAGTTCTTTTCTTGTGTGGTTATGTAACTCAAAATTGAATTAAAATATTTTTTTAAAGCAAGAGCAATTTAGCAAGCAGTTGCATGTTATAGTCCAATCATTTTTTTATACCTGAAGGAAGCATGTCAAAGTTATGCAGTTACTGAAGTTTAAAAATAAGCTTCAGGGCATATGTGGTAAAAACACCCTTAAAAGAACTACATTGGCCTGATGCGCATGCCCAGTGGCCTTGCCTGGCCAGTGGCCCAGAGCAGGTCATTCTTAGTCTGCTGGCCATTTTCTCATGATGATTTCTTGGTTTTCCTTTTAAGGTCAGAGTGTCCCGGTGAGGGTCCCCATGTAGTATAAGCCTTTTTAAATGTAATAATTACATTTAGTATTTTAAATCTTACACACCAAATATTGTTCCGGATGTGGCACAGTAGCTTCTCCCAGCTCCACTGTCAGGCAAAAAGAAGGGCTTCTCACTCTGTGAAAGTATTCTTCCTCCAGCTTCAGAGCTGGGACAAAGCAATGTTTTCTCTGCATCCAAAGGCGATGACAACAGAGCAACCCTCAGCAGCTTCTCCCTTGGGCCAGGAGGCACAGCAACGGGTGGGGCTGAGCCGGCCACTGTGGGGCCTGCGCGGCAGGTGTCCCTGCAGAATTTTGTACAGTGGGACACTTCCCCCACTTGCTGCCTACTATTAAACTGGCCACAAGGCAAATTCACATTGCCCAAGGGCATTGTTTTCAAACTGAAGTTCTTATCAGCTGTTGTATTATTTAAAATACAGCCTTCAGGGCTCTGTCTCAGACTGGCTGAGTTAGGATCATTAATGCAGGAACTTGGAATCTGTGCTTTGACAAAGCATCCCAAGGATCCTACATCCACTAAAATACAAGACATTGACTTGGGTCTGTCTTGCCCATCATTCTGTTTTTCCTGGAGTCCTCCAGAAACCTCTGAACTCTTGGGAATGAGAGAACATGGGGTGGGTGTATGGTTCCCAAATTTGAGAGCAAGTGACAGAAAGGAGCCCACCTCACCATCCTCTTCTTTATGCGTAGGAGGAAATGAGACGGCCATCATATTTCCCCTCCAGTTTCAAATTGCTCACCCTGACTTCAGGGACTCATGGAATAAGATACAACAGTCACACTTTGGTTCGGTCTCTGCTGACCTTAAGAGCTGTTCTCCAGAAGTATTTCTGGAGGTGGAGGACTTACGGTGCTGCCATCATTGGCTGGCTCAGATAAGTTTATTGTAAAGCACCTTTTCTTAACTAATTATTTTCCAGTTAGTAACATTCTTTTTCAGTAGCACATCATGAAGAGAGTCATGAAGAAAACAGAGGTTTGGTATGAACCAACAAGCCTATCTGGATCTCTGTCCAAAGCAAGTTTATTCCAGGCTGAGATGGGCAATGATTAACTAGGCCTAGTTCAGCAATTGCACAGGGCAGACCCACAGTCTCCCTAAGGTATGCTCACGCAGGACCTTACTAAAGCTAAAGGAGATGGAACAGCAGACGAAAGGAAACACAGCAAACATTAGACAAGTTCAAGACTTCCTGGCAGAGCTCTCAGGGTCCCCTTTAGTCCCACAAAGTGTACTTCACCTGCAGGTTGGAGAGACAAGGCACAGGTTTACCAGGTGGTCCTTTATAGCCCGCTGGTCACACACTCAGACAAGGCTGTGCAGTCAAACCTGAGCTGGCTGTCAGTCTATACATTCCAAAACAAATTAAACAAGGCAGTCCAAGGGAGTTTTGGCTTACACAGCATAATAAAATCACTAGCTAGTTCACCCTTATCTTGGCCAAAGGTCAGCACCAGCCTTCAGGTGCCCTGGAGATAATCATGGAGCTACCCCAGCCCCGCCACAAGGTGACACCTCCTTATACACACAGATCAGCAGGAGGGCATTTTTACTGAGGAGCTTGAGCCCTTGGTTCTGTTGCATCATATTTCCATGTTTCTGTAGGTTGATTACACCTTTATTCTGACATATTGATCTTTTCACTTTGCTTATTACATAATGTCTTCACCATGTGATGAAATTTCCAAATTGGAAATATCTCTTAGTACATGATAGCTTTCTCTAGAACATTTTTATTCCCTCTTTTTGAGGCCATAACTTTATAAAAAGAAGAAAACATTTCTTGATAAGAATTCAGTGCAAAGTCCCTTTCCTTATTCATTAATTTGAAGAATTTCTTATTTTGTAGTTCCGTTGAAAATTTTTAAAATCAGGGAAAACTAATATTTAGAAAACTTTTAAAAATATGTATCTTATTGTCTGAAGAAATAACTAAGTCTATGCTGATTTTTTTTAGGAGAACATTTAGTCAAAATAGAATGCATGCAAAAACACCTCTAATTTGAGTTAGAAAACAATGTAGTATTTCATTTGTTTTTTTTTCAAAATTCATGTTGTGCTTTTATAATTTAACAAGGTAATGAAAGATAAATGTTTTTCTTTCTCTAGATTCAGTTAAAACCAATCACACTTCTAACTGAACAAGATCGTGTGGAACATAATCTGGCTTCTGAGAGAAGGAAAGTTCGATTACAACATGAAGATACCTTTAAAACCTTGATGAAGGAAAGTAGCAAGTTCAGTGGTCAGTAAATCTACTTATAGGAACTTTATGTGACTGTGATGGGTGAAGGGGTCCTTGCTTAGAATACTCTAATTTTCACTTTATTATTACAATTTAGTCCTGGTGAGGCTAGATACCTTTTCCAACAAACCCAGTAGCTGGAGAAGGACGGGGCTGACCGTTCCGAGTGTAAATGCTGACATCTAAGCGCCATGTAGACCAGAGGATCTCTAGGGAGGAGACAAGAGGAGGGCAACAGGGACCGGGGAGTCCTTATGCGTTAAGTGTGTGCTCAATAATGATCGATGAACGAATGATAATGCCATTCATTGATCTGGTGCTTCACAGTTTACTAGAGCAGGTTCTCTTCCATTATCGCATTTGAGCGGCATGTGACCTCAACAGAGGAGGAAACTGAAACGCGAAGCTGTGAAGAACCTTGCTACATATCACAGGAGAGATGAAGAGAAGCAATAAGATTCTACTCGTGTTTCCCGACTCTTCCGTAACAACGCTGTTGTGTCTGATAAGCCGAAGTTTCTTACCTCTCTGGTGGTGACTTCCTGGATTCCAGGAGGTCTCAACCAGGCTAGAATGGCAGAGAAAGGGAGGCTGCCTCACCCCTCCCCGACCCTCCCCTGCGTCTGAGCCCATCTCCTGCGGCCCCAGGGCAGGAGACCTGCAGCGAGAGCGAAGTGGGCAGAGCAGAAAGCGGAGAGACCCAGCCCAAGGCTCCCGCCTCTCTGCCAGGAGGGCGGGAGGCTCGCAGAAGATCAGACCCCCACAACCCCCGGCTCTGAAGGTAGACACGGGGAGAAGAGGAAGGAGAGAAGACAAGAGAGGGCCGTGGGAGAATGCGGAGATGGGGGAGGAAGCGCGCACACAGAGGCCAGAGGAGAGAGGAGAGGCAGAGGTGGAGGGGACAGTGTGGCAGGGCTTCATTTTGCCCATTGTGACATGATCATGGCCCTGGGACTACCCCCCACGTGACCTCTGGGTTGGAAAAAAGGGTTTTCAAACACTTCTACTTATTGCTGACCTTTCAAAAGACAATACCCATTACCAAGTTCCTTTTAAGGAAATGACTGCTCAGAAGAATCCATCCTTCTGTGAAGATGGTTTCTGTACTAAAATGTATTTTGAATGCATTTTGTTAAGTAATGAAATGGCTGGACCATGAGAATAAGAGCATTGCTCGAGAGAAAAGGTGGTAGGAGCAGGACATGAAAAGATAGGACAGTGTCCTGGAGGCTCTCTTAGGCCATGCTAAGAGGCTTGAACTTTCTTCTGATCTTGAGGAGAGCCGATGAAGATTTGGACAAGGTTATTGCATGATTACAATAGGATTTAATATAGTCACTCTGGGTAGAAGAGGGGTGACTAGAGGGAGGGACACCAGGCAAGAGGTGAGGCATGCCTGCAACCAGCAATGATAGTAGAGGGAGAAAGCAGGGAAAGACTAAAATAATATACAAGGGGTAAAATCAGCAAAATAGGCTCACTGGTGTGGAGATTTGTTTGAGGAAGAAGCAGGCCAGGATAACTCTCAGGTTTTTGGTTTAAGCAACTGATTAAGTTAATGGTGGTATCATGAACAGAGATCATGAATATGAGGGCAGGGGGCGGGGGCAGTTCTAATGAGGTACATTTGCCATGTTTAGTTTGCCATGCCCGTGGAACAAAAAGGACAAAATCTCCCCAAGATTAAATTTGAGAGATAACAGCTTTTAGATGGTGATTCAAACAAAGTCAGCACCTGCAGTCACTCAGGAATAGCTCACAGGGACACAAAGATAGTGAACCAAGCATGGAACCTGTAGAGCATGGTCATCTAAGATGATCGCAGAACATCTTAGATCGCAGAACTAGTCAGAGGGCTACAAGGAGAACTGGAAAGAGTCGTGTCAAAAGCCAAGGGAATAAAATTGCATGAAGCAATGAGTGGTCAGCTGTGTTCCAGGAAGGAAGGAATAAAAACTGTCCACTGATTTAGGAATAGCAAAGTCACTAGCACATGCTACAGTCATTCAAACATAGAGATGACTGAGGTAATTGTGACTTCAGTTTCAGTTTGTTAGGAAGTTGGGAAGATCAGATCTATGTGTCTGGTTCAATTTAGAATTATAAAGTTTTAAAAGTCTGTTTTTATCATGTTTCATTTATCTGCCCTTAAAAAGATTATTCTGTATTTCTTTGAACAAAACAACTTGAGCCTAACTTCATTGATTTGATCATCTTTTTAGAAATTTTACTAGCTTCCATGCCACTGAGGGTACCATAGAACTTATAAACAATTTCTCTTAGCAATGTCAGAGCCAGACCCTGAAACTGAAAGTCACCTTAGAGTGTGTGGTTTGTCCACCTGCTGCCCCAAGTATCTGATGAAGTTCATTTTGAACTGGACAATATATTCTATAGGAAAACAACTAGATCATCTTTATTATTGAAATGTGTTGTTAGAAAAACTGTGATTGTACATTGGTTACATCAGACATAAAAGCTTGAAATGTTTTTAAGATGTTGTAAGATTAAAATATATATTGTTAGAACAGTGAGGAAGTTTAATCCAAATGATATGCTTTCAGAAGAAAAGGGAGATAATGACATTACATGATCTAAAAACAGGACTGCTTTGGAATATGTTCTTGTACCACTGGACTATTGTTTGGACTATTGTTTGGTGTATAGGAAAACACTTAAGATTTGGAGCATTTGTTCTTAGTAAGAATAATTTGGAACATTATTTCTCAATAAGAAATCATATCATGATGAGCACTGTCCTGTGTTGATCCTTTCAGGTTATGAGGAAGAAAACTAGGGCTAGAATGATCTCAATTCAGGTCAATGTTCCTGAGAATGTGAAAGGAATGTAAAATTGTCCAAGCAGAATGCTGACACAGTACTTAATGAACATCCAAAGTACAAGTATTGAAATTGACTACTGGACAAGTCTGTAGAAAGGATGAGATCTGTTTGTTGACTTAACTTGAGTACACAGCCAGAGCTATGGGCCCTGAATTGGTCTCTGAACCTGCGAGAGTCCTATTTCTCCACTGATTGGCAATTTCTGCAAATAAGCATGTATCTGCACCAAAGTGACTCATACTCAATGCTCAGTATATTTCTGCATACATGTCATAGTTGATGCTTATGCATATATGACCTGCCCTAGTACCCACCTCTCTGTGTCCTTGTATATGCCAGGCATGTTTTCATAGGAATCAAGTAGATTTTTCTTTGAAGTTATCCCTCAAAAGAGGGGTTAACTTATATTTGAGTCTTTACAATGTCTCTCACATTATAGGGACCTCTACATTTTTTATTTTATTAATATTTTAAATTATTTCAAAACAGTTAGTACACATGCACAGGTTGAGAAATTCAGAAGACATAATAGACCATTCAGTTGAAAGGCAAGTTTCCTGCTATCAGTGTCTCCCAGTTAGCCAGTTCCCATCCTCAGAGACAACCACTGTTACACACACACACACACACACACACACACACACACACACACACACGCACAAGTACATACTTGGAGCAGAATACTCAAACAGTTACGTACCTTTCTTTTTTTCATTTAACAACTTATTTTACAGATAGTTTATATTATTTCATTTTTGAGAAAAAAATACCATTTGATTAAGAGATATTGATGTAAGAAACTTAATACTAGTTTTGGATTTTTACAGAACGTCATCTAACAAAGTCAGTAATAAAAAAAGAGTCAGAGAGGTTGGAAGGGATTTAAGATTTCACATGCCTTTTAAATGTCTAATTTTAAAGCAACCCAATTCTGATTACAGCAACATGGTGGACTTGGTTTCTGGAAAACCTAAAATTTCTAGATAAAATATTTATAAACATCTTTGCAAACACATCTCAGCAGGCAGAAAAATAAGAGAAAAGCTTGAAGTCCAGAAATGATTAAAAAACACAAATGCAGCAGTGTAAGGAGACATGAGCCGGTATCTCCTCAAGACTCTGGCAGTGCTAGAAGACCTAGAACTTGTCTTTTAATGGGACTGCACAGGCTCAGCAAGCAAAGCCAGGGGCCCATGTTAAGTAAACAGTTAGATCAGGGAACCTTGCATGAAGCTGCAACCACCAAAAGAGGATACCCTCAAGGAGTTGACTGAAAAAGTCCCCACCCTCAGAGAGTTCAGGCAGAAAGTTTTGTAGTCTCCGCCTTAGCCCTCTGGAATGGGGGAAAAATACTTCCCATTGAGAATTCAACCACAAGCACATTATCATGCAGATTTGGTGTCAGAATTCACATTACTTGTTTGCACTGAAACAGACCACATGAAACCGAGTGTGAAGTGTCATTGCGTGGTAGTACTTCTAGGTGATCTGCAGTCACAAGTGCAAATCCCCTGGAGAAATGACTTTTAGCCAAGCCCTCAAGAATTCCAACAAATAGAGAGCTAAGGAATTTGAGCTCCTAGTCAAAAATCATAAATTATAAATATAAACAAGTCATCAAAATTCAGAAGAAGCACCAGACAATAGATTGAGACCTACAAAGATTACAGATATTGAATTTATCACATAAAGAATATGGAGTAAGAATGTTAACAAAACAGTATCAAAAGCATTATCAAAGAAAAAAAAAATGACCTAAAAGTTTTGACAAAGAAATAGAGAACTTCTATAGAAAAAGAATATATAATAATTAAAATTTAGAACTTAATCAATGTATTAAATAGCAGATAAAGACACTAAACTAGAAGATAGATCTGAAGACCCCTTCAGAAATGCAGATGGGTAAACAAAGAAATGGGAAATATATGAGAGATTTGGAGACATAGAGATTTGGAGTAAGAAGTCTAACATGCACCTACGAAAGTTCCAGAAGGAGAGGATAAAAGGAATGGGAAAGAAGTAACATTTAAAGTGAATGACATAGACATGTCATTGAGAGATAACAAGAAAGTTTAAAATACATATGAAAATATGTTGGACCTCATTAGTAATCAGGGAAATGAAAATTATAACCAACATGAGATGCTATTTCATACCCACAAAATTAGAAAAAAATTGAAGAATCCATAATACTGTTTAAGTAAAAATGGGAACTCTAATAAACAGTAGACAGAATTGTAAATCAGGACAATCATTTTGTTACCTAAAAATATTCTGTTGATAGTAAGGACTATGAATGTGGAATACATCAGCAATGTTAAGTTAATTTGCCCATTCATTGATTCAATAAATATTTACTGAGCACCCATATTTGGGAATTACATCAGAATTTTTTAAAAGTCAGCCTTTATTGGTAATCAAAAAACTCCCAAAAAACAAAAGTCAAGAACCAAATGGCTTCACAGCATGAATTCTGCAAAACATTTAAAGGAGAGCTAATACCTGTCCTTCTTAAAGTATTCCAAAAAGTAGAAGAGAATATTTCCAAACACATTCTGTAAGGCCAGCATCACTCTAATACCAACACTAGACAAAAACACAACAAAAAAAGAAAATTATAGATCAATATTCCTGATGAATATAGATGCAAAACCCTCAAAAATTCAAAAATACCACAAAAGATAATCCATCATGACCAAGTAGGATTTAGACCAGTGATACAAGGATGGCACAATATTTGCAAATCAGTCAATATCATGTACCACATTAACAAAAATAAGAGTAAAAGTCACATGATCACCTCAGTGGATGCTGAAAAAGCATTTAACAAAATTCATCATCCATTCATGATAAAAACTCTCCTCAAAATGGTTATAAAGAACATACCTCAAAATAATAAAAACAACAAACCCACAGCCAAGATCATACTCAGTGAGGAAAGTTGAAAACTTTTCCTCTAAGATCAGGAACAAGACAAAGGTGTTTCACTCGTACCCCTATTTTATTCAACATAGTACTTGAGGTCCTAGCCATGGCAATCAGACAACAAAAAGAGATAAAATTGGTAAGGAAGAAGTTAAACTCTATTTGCAGAAGACATGATATTATACGTAGAAAAGCCTCAAGACTCCACCAGAAAACTATTGGAACTAGTAACTGGATTCAGCAAAGCTGTAGGATACAAAATTAATACATGGAAATCTGTTGCATTTCTATTTACTAACAATGAACTAGCAGAAAGAGAAATCAGGAGAACAATTCCATTTACAATTGCATCAAAAAGAATAAAATATCTAGGAATAAACCTAACCAAGGAGGTAAAAGACCTGTACTCTGAAAGATATAAGACACTCATGAGAGAAATTAAAGAAAACACAAATAAATGGAAATTCATCCTATGCTTCTGGATAGGAAGAATAAGTATTGTCAAAATGGCCATCTTGCCCAAAGCAATTTACAGATTCAATGCAATCCCTATCAAAATACCAACAGCATTTTTTCAATGACCTAGAAAAAACAATCCTAAACTTCATATGGAACCACAACAAAAGATCCTGAATAGCCAAAGCAATCCTGAGAAAGAAGAACAAAACTTGGGGTATTATGTGCCCTGACTTCAAGCTATACTATAAAGCTACAGTAAAACAGTATCAAAACAGTATGGTACTGGCATAAGAACAGACCCATAGATCAATGGAACAGAATGGCCTAGATATAAACCAAATTGATATATGGTCAGTTAATATATGATAAAGAAGCCATGTATATACAATGGGGAAAAGACAGTCTCTTCAATAACTGGTGTTGAGAAACTTGAACAGCTACATGCAAGAGGATGAAACTGGATTATTGTCTAACTCCATACACAAAAGTAAACTTGAAATGTGTCAAAGACCTAAATGTAAGTCAGGAAACCATAAAACTCTAAGAAGAAAACATAGGCAAAAATCTCTTGAACATAAGCATGAGCAGTTTTTTCCTGGACATCTCCTTGAGCAAGGGAAACAAAATAAAAAATAACAAGTGGGACTATATCAAACTAAACTGCTTCTACCTAGCAAAGGAAACCAGCAAAACAAAAAGGCAACCTACAGAATGGGAGAATATATTTGTAAATGATTTATCTGATAAGGCATTAATAACCAAAATATATAAAGAACTTATATGCCTCAAACCAAAAAAAGAATAACCTAATGGTGGAGGACCTGAACAGACACTTCTCCAAAGATGAAATAAGAATGCCCAATAGGCACATTAAAATATGCTCCACATCACCAATCATCAGGGAAATGCAAATCAAAACTACAATGAGCTATCACCTCATTGATCACCATAAGTGGTCACTAGTTAGAATGGCCACTGTCCAAAACACAAGAAATAACAGGTATTGGTGAGGATGTAGAGAAATGGGAGCCCTCCTACGCTATTGATGGAAATGTCAATTGATGCAGCCACTGTGGTTCCTCAAAAAACTAAAAATAGAAATACCATTTGATCCAGTAATTCCACTTCTAGGAATTTACCGCCCCCCAAAAAAAACAAAATCCCTGATTCAAAAAGATATATACACTCCTATGTTTATTGCTGCATTATATACAATAGCCAAGATATGGAAGCAACCTAAGTGTCCATCAATAGATGAATGGATAAAGAAGAGGTAGTACATATACACAATAGAATATTATTCACACATAAAAAAGAAAAGCCTGCCATTTACAACAATATGGATGGACCTAGAGGGTGTTATGCTAAGTGAAATAAGCCAGGCAGAGAAAGACAAATACCATATGATTTCACTTATTTGTGGAATATAAAAACAAAGCAAAACAAAATGAGGAGCAAAATAGCAGTAGACTCATTGACACTGAGAAGTGACTGGTGGTTACCATGCGGAAGGGTTAGGGTGGGTGGGTGGGAAGGGTGATGGGAATAAAGGGGCAAAAATTCTCAAATATAATACGTTGATCATGGGGATAGTAGTAAAGCATGGAGAATATAGCTAATAATTGTGTAACATCTTACTGTGGTGACAGATAGTAACTGCCCTAGTGGGGGTGAGAATTTAATAATATGGATAACTGTTGAACCCACTGTGTTCTATATTTGAAAGCAATATAAGATTGTATATCAATGATACTTCAATGTAAAAAAGAAAAAAGTCAGCTTTTGTCAAAAGGAAGTAGGATCTAGTGGGTCAGATAAAGATTACAGAAATAAACATAAAACTATAACTGAGAAAGAAGAAGAGATCATAATTAAGTAGCGGTGGAAGTCAGGGAAGACTTTCCTAAGGAAGTGATGACTGAAATGAGCCAAAGCAGGAAGAAGGTAGAGTGGTGGCCAGTGGAACTGATACTGACAGTGAACAGCATTCAACTGCCCTGATGTGGACAGCACTCGGTTGTAGGAACTGAAAAAAAGGCCAGTGTGGTTGGAAAAAAAGGGATAGACTGAGAGAGAATACGATGGGGATAGAAGGGGTGTTCTTGGCAGTCCGACCATGTGTGGCTGTAGAAGCCATATACATCAGACAAGGAAGGAACGCTAAGGAAGTGCTAGGGGTCCTAGGAAGGATTGGCGCTTGTATGCAAGGACTACGGGGAGTTACTGACATGTTTTTAAGCAGGAGACTAAAATGATCAGTGGAATGAAAAGGAAAAAAATAAAAGAGGAAGACCATCAATTAATTATAAGTATAAAACTTTCATTAGAAAATGCAGTTAAAGTTCTCTGTAGCCACACTTCTCTGCTTGCTTATACATGATAAGAATGTCCCCATTCCCAGTTACCAACAACAGCTGGCTGGGTGTATCTGTGCTCTTACACTGCAAGCTCAGCTCTGCCTCTGACAGTACAACCACGATGGTACCCCTGATTTGTAAATTCTCCCCCCACTTCCTCAACAATAGCACATGAGATTTAAGCCTATCTGGTGATTCACCAGATGATGCAGGAAGCACAGTTGAATACATTTTACTCCTTTGCAGCCAGAGTAAATGATTTCTCCATTGTTGAGAGTAAAAACCAATTTGTCAGTAAATGAAGCAGACATGATTCAAAAGAAGCAGAAGGACACTGAGAAGTGCAACACATTGTGTCCTCTCTGTTTGTAACTGCATTCATTAAAAAACAACCACAGGAGGCCCATTCCCATTCTGAAGTTACTACAATAGCAAACTATTCCGGATTCTCAGTATCTTTGGCCCTTTATAGCTCAGTTCCTTTCTTTATCAACAACTTTGTTGAGGTATAGTTGACATACCAGACACAGTACAATTTAAATAGTGCAATTTGGTAAGTTTCAAGACATGTATATACCCATGAAACCAATCAAGATAATGACATATCTGTCAATCCCCAAATTTCTTTCTGCCTGTCCTTTCCCTGACCTCTTCTTCCTCCACTCCAACAACTTGTTTAAATGCAATCATTCTTTTAGTCAAAATTCGGATAGACTTATACGATACTTTGGAATATCATTTCTAAAAGGTCTTGCTATCTGCTATCTTACCCAATTCACTGTAAACATTCACCATTCAGATGAAAGTCACTCTGCAAAACAAAACCTTTTTATTTCCTCAGCAGTTTTAAGTATTTGAGAATAATTTTAAAATTTTCTAAAAATCCTGTTAGTTAAGTGTACTGCTAGGATGGAAAAGCCATAGCTCCAGGTTGTGGCATTAAAGCCAAAATTATGAATGCTTACTTCTATCTTTTAGATTCCATTTGTGATGAAGAGGAAGGAGTGGTTTCCACAAGGGGCACCTCTGTTCAGAGCATTGAACTTGTCCTCCCTCCCCATGCAAACCATCATGGAAATACATTTGGTGGCCAGATTATGGCTTGGATGGAGACCGTGGCAACCATTTCTGCAAGGTTCTTGGTTTTGACCTTTGGTGTGTGATTTGGGTTCAGTGGGGATAGAACAGAAAGATTCTGAAACCCAGTTATTGAGCTAGTCAAGGAGACAAGGAGAGGACAATGTTGCCTTTTATTAAAATGAGAAAATACGTCATTCATCTGTTTACCTTAGGATTAGTCTGTCCTTTTGTTTGAAGGTGAGTGTTTACATTCTTGGCTCAAAAATAAAGATGAAATGAGAGTGCTAATACTTTACTCTGAATTATGAAGGTTGATACTGTGACACTGCGACTCCTCGTAATGATCTCATGACAAAGGAAATGCAGAATAGAAATAGAAAACAACCTTTACACTTAAAATTAGTCAAGTTACAAACTTTTTAAAAGGCAATTAACAATTAGGTCTGACTTCTGAAGGTGCTGGTAAGAATCATTATTGTCAAAGGATTAACTGAAAAATAAGACAAGAAAAAGGGAAGAACTTAGAGAGTACTTTTAAATGTTCTACAGTTTCAAAAAAGGTTATTTTATTCTTAATGGAACCATGTAGGTATTGAGCAGCTTTAAGGAACACGGTGCACTCTGAAAACACATTTGAACAGAATTCGCCCTACTGACAATTTCTGTAATCATCAAAAATTGCTAAGCTTTATTTTACCAAAATTAAATGAATTTTATTATTAGTATCTCTATAGTTATGACTATAGTTAGAAACCTGTACTTATCTTTCCTATAAGTTATGTACAAATAAGAGAGTTTGTTTTTAAAATGACACTGTCACTCTCAGTGACAATAAAGCATTTGAACCTGTTCTTTTATAAAGGCTTATGGTATAATCAGCTTTGGCAGAGTCTGTTCAGTTAGTGCTGGCACACTTCAGAGAAACTACAGTAGAAATCTAAAATGTAGAAAATTATGGAAATGGCTATCTGGAACTAAATATTCTTTATAAATATTTCAAAATTTCACACAGAAAAACTTGTAAAATGTATACCATGCAGCCTTTCAGGCTTTGTGTAGGTAATTTTTCTGTGGAAAAAAAATTAGTCTTTTAATATATGGGTGGATTCAGTTAACTATGAAGCTAAGGAACTAGTGTGAATGGCAACAGCTGGCAGTTTGTTCCCCTCCAACCTGGGATCATAGTTTCCTGTGATTGTAGTCATGAGCCTTCAATTAGAACAGAAGATATTTGTTGGTTTTTCAAAGGACTTTCATAGGGAACAAAACCAGAGCAGGGCAGTCACCATAGGAGCAGAAGCATTAGCAACCTGGTAAAGATCTTATGACTCGGGGACATGGAATTTCCCAAAATATTTGCAGAGAGTGTACAGAACCACTCTCAACACACATATCCAGTGATATATTTCACTCTTGAGTTGAAAGAGATGCTTACTTAGAAAGCATATTGAATATTTGTCTACTGCATCTGTCCAATGAATCAGCAGTTCATGAAAATATTTTGGGGGATAAATGCTTTCCTCTCTTCCTCCCTTTTCCCTTGTTTCACCAGCCGCCTCTGTCGGGTGCATCCCCTTCTGAAGTCTGTGGATATGTTTAAGTTCCGGGGACCATCTACAGTTGGAGATCGGCTTGTCTTCAATGCTGTCGTCAACAATACATTTCAGACCTGGTAAAGAGTGTCTACGGCTCTTCAGCTGCTATAGACAATTTCAAACTTGCACATAAATATTTTTTTATTTTTATTTCAATCTGGAGGTAAGGGACTACTTTCCAGTAACCATGTTCCTTCTAATTTTTTTTCAGACTTCACTCAATCTTCAAAATACATAGACACACAATTTAACCCTGTGTGCTGTTTGGAAGCTCCTTACACTTTGTAAATTGGGTTTTGTCTCATAATAAGGGGGACCCTCTCTCCCAGTTGGTCCAGGAGGGTCTTGGTTTGTACCTGTCATAATTACTAACCCTTCCTTTCACTCTCAAAAGAGTACCAGTGGCAAAACAGTCAGCTGACTCAGAATGCACCTGTCATCTAAAACATGAAGTTCAAACCACTTCCCAGTTCGTATTATTCTTAATATACAATGAAAAGATTTAGTATTTTTTCTTTTTAACTGTAAAAAAGAGTATGTTTCCTGTCTAGTTTTAATGTTCGATGCTTTTAAATTACAGAACTATTGTTTTTAGGGGAGAAATGCTCTACCCTCCCCCTTACCAAAATATGTTCGTAAGTGTTGTAAGTCCCAATTGGCCTTTTTCCCAAATAAAATTGAGAAAGCAAGGTGGAAATGCTCCCCAGATCTTGTACATCAGATCTGCTAACCTGATGAAATGGATTTTAACAGTTTCATGTATTTCCAGACAATAAAGAAAAAGCCCAGAGCCCTGGTTCTCTTCCTTGCTTGGAGGAGGTGGTAGTGGTGGCCAGAGGCCAGGCATGCTCTGGTTCTCTGCCCACTGCCCTGTGTCGCCCTCTGCAGTGTTGAAGTGGGAGTGCGTGTGGAGGCCTTTGACTGTCAGGAGTGGTCGGAGGGCCGAGGCCGTCACATCAACAGTGCTTTTCTCATTTATAATGCGATCAATGATAAGGAAGAACTGGTCATATTTCCCAAAATCAAACCCATGTCAAAGGTTAGTGACTAGCATGGAAGTCTGGTTATCAGACCATTCATCCTGGGAGAAGCTGTGGCTACAGAGCTCTACCTAAATTTCTTCGCACAGTGACATCCTCCATGGCTATTCGCCTTTGGCTTTCCCTCTTTCCTGCATCACCAAATAAAATGGGCTTTTTTTCCCCCTCCAGTTCCCTGTACTCATTTGTTGGAATGATGGAGGCCCTCAAGCCCTTACCACTGCTCGGCCACACACAGCTGTGGAAAGCATATCAGCTCCTGTGCCCCATTTCTGACTCCCTTCTCCCACTTTACATCCAGTTCTCCACGCTGCTGCTCATTCATCAAAATTATGTCTTCCCCTTATCTAAAGCTACTTTATTGCCAACTTTCACCTTCCTAAAAACTCTACATTAAGGTATATGTGTAATTCTGGTAACAGAAATGATGACAATCACCAAGTTAAAAAGGGAAAGAAAACAGCTAGCTATAAGTGTTATTTTTATCCGGGCACCTTTGTGGGTGATGGTAGTTCATTCAGAGACAACGCATGTATCCCACTTAGCATTTTCAACTGACTTAGAAGAGAGACCTTAGGATTGTAACACTTAAATATTAGACATTTATCGACTGACCTTGATTTTTTTTGAAAGGATGATTTTAGACGGTATCGTGGAGCCAAGGCTCGCAAGAGAATTCGCCTGGGAAGGTAAGGGACGTAGGGGTGAGGATTTTATGGAATCTTCTCTTATTTGACAACTGCATAACCAAGAGCCCCCCTTGATTCCCTCATAATGTAAAAAGAGAAGGTGTAATATTTTCTGACTGTGGAGACTACTGTGACTACTGTGATGAAAGTTGGTTTTCCTGATTGTTCCACCAGTAAAAGAAGCTTTTAAAAACTGCTGATTTCAGTTTAAGAAAGTGCCATGGTTACAGTTGTGTGCTAAATGCAAAGAAGAAAACTTATTTAAAGTCTTATTTTTTTTCCAGAAAATATGTTATTTCCCACAAAGAAGAGGTTCCACTTTGTGTACACTGGGACATAAGCAACCAGGTGATGGTTTTATGATTTGAAGCTCTTTGTACATACATCACATCATTACAAAATGGAAATCCCCATGTTTAGCTGATTCAGGTTTTGCCCACACAGGCTAGATGAAAAGCTGACTTCTATCAACCAGTCATTTCAAAATGAAACAAAACCTAGTTATCAGTAACCAACCAGTTTCATCATCTTGTTTGAATTACAAGTACAGTTCCCAAACTAAACACTACTCAGGAGGATCTGCCATCAAATTCATTCAAGCAGCATGGGACATTGGACCTGGTGTCCTACCATGATTTATGCTGAATGACATGCCTACCAGATTGCGTTTTTATAATGCAACAACAAAGTGTTAATCCTTTCAATGTTTTTGACCATAAAATATAAAAGTAAATCAAGTTATTAGGTGTTGATTACAAGTCATAAGAAAGGTAATCGTGTCTTTGCTCAAGACAACAATTAAAATGAGTGTAATTTGCTAAGCATACAGGCCTCATGTTACCTTGTGTGAATTCTGAATTAACAGTTCAAGACAGAAACTATGTTCCCTAGAGCTTAGCTCTGAACTCAGCATCATCACTCTGACTCTAACAGTGCGCATTTTCTAAACAGAAACTATTTGGTCACATATCTGTGCATTGAACCACAGCTTTTAAAAAACATTTGTGTTTTAGGTAACCCTGAGTCATGGCAATGTGGAAGCTCTCAAAAACCTGGCAGCCAAAAGTGGTTGGGAGGTTACCAGTGCCATGGAAAAGGTAGGAGGCATCCATGTACACGCACAACCCATTGTCCTTCACAAACACAAGTTGTTATGGTAGTGGTTCTGCTCCTTCTGTGAAGGTAAAGTCTTCGTGGGAAACTATTTCTAAGAGTCAAGCCTCTTCCCAATCCTGACCCTCCTACTCCACACTGACTGATTTAGGGTCCTTCAAGTACGAACGTAGTTCTCATTTTCCATTTCTCTCTCCTCTCCATCTGCCCGAATCCCACCTGGCCTTCAAGATCCAGGACTCACACTTCTCCAAAAGCCACTCCTATCACCCCTGATTGAAGGAACGTATCTCTAAGAAGTCCTATAACAATTACTTCTTCAAGATTAATTTCTTAGTTAATCCACTATCTTGTCACATTTCCTACACAGCTACATTGAATTGATATTTAAATCTTACATGGTAACTTAACTTTTTTACACATGGTCTTTTTCCCTAACATTATCATCAACTTCTTAAGAAAGAAGCCTGGTCTTGATTTCTTTATCTCTCTTAGCACCTTTTACAGTGTTTTCATGTCATCAAGTTTAAATAAATGTATACAATTTGGATTTTAATTTTATCTAATCTCAGAGGTGTATTAGGAGACCTTTGAAGTCAATGCCCACACTAACTAGACTGAGAGCTGTTTAGCTCACCACAGCAGTTTCAGAACATAGCAGTGCCTGGTACTCAACAGATGCTTGAAAATGCCAGCTCTTTCTCTGTGCTCATATTTCACTGTGTACTGCTTTTTGACATCAGTGAAGCAGCAGCCTCTAAAATAGGGTGACTATATTACCTGGTTTCCCGGTCATCCCATCATAATTATTACCAGTGCCTCAGTGTTCCAGTTTGGATAATAAATGATATGGTCACTTACCCTGAACTTGAAGTGAATTCAGATGCTGCTTCATTGATTCTTTTCAACTGTGACCTCCTCTGTGTTTTGTTCCGGGTTGTTGGCTTTTATTATGTCTTTGCCCTCACTACTGAATCCTTTCAGGGTCTTTCTTAACCTCTTTGGATCCAGTTAGGTTTCCATCATGCTTGGTCAGTGATGTAGAAATACAGGTTTGACATAACAAAGTTATCTCTTCCTCATAAAAGATGCTTCAAGACTTTGTTTTCTTTTACTAATACAAAATTTGCTTCTTGCATCAGTGCTGGCATCTGAGCACTCATGAACAGCATTGGAAAGGACAAATTTGTGTCTGAAATGAAGGAGGAGAGCACATTTCAGGAAGTCATATAATACAGTAAAACTTCAGCTCTTTGGGAGTTTAGGGCCAGTAACAAATCTAAACAAATAAATGGGATATTTACCAGTGTCTAAGGAGACCCATCAATAATTAATTCTCAATTTTTGTATGATTTTTATACTTAGTAGAGGATATTGTATAATTAAAGGAGCATTCTTATGTTATCTCTGTTGAATTTGAAGCCCTTCATGTCTTTATATATATGATAAAATCTGATTTTTTTCTTTCTGAGTTATCCCCCTCTTCTTTCCTTCTTTTTAAAGGTTTTATTTTTTGTTAATTTTAAAATACAGCTCTCATCTTTTTCTGTCATCTTTTAGTTGAATAATTCTTATAATACAGCTCTCTGTTAAGAATAATACTCAGGTTTTAAAATCTATACTTGTTTTTGAGATTAGTTAGATGGCAAAAGTCTAAGATTTCTGGTATTTATAATGAAATGGGGCAGTACTTAGTGTTTTAACCCATATTTCATTTTTTTCAATATAAAGCTGGAATTAATAATAGGTATACTGTCGTCTTAAAGGGACTTACAGTCTATTTTGGAAACATCACTTATATGCATGAAATAGCAAAAGAGTAATTTTGAGCTGGTTTATAAACAAGTGAGAGATTATACTTATTGAAACTTTAGGTCACCTCTTGGGCAATTCAAAGAAAGGTAAGAGAAAAACAGAATTTTGGAGGTGGGTGATTCTTTTCTCCTTGAAGATAGTGTAAGGAGCAGATGCTGGAGAGACAAAGGGCTCTTTCTAAGCTGTGAGTAGCTTGAACCAAAGCTTCAGGTGGCAATAGCATGGATAGGAGACTGGTCTGACAGGAGTAGCTTTTTATTTAGGGAGCAGCTGAGAGTGTGCTGGAAAAGCTATAGTGAATGCCAGAATGGCAAGGACCGCTTGCAGGCCTTCCCCCCAGGACAAAACCCAGTATAGGAAACAGACCAGAGGGAGCTGTTTTAGTTGAAGCTGGGGAGGCCACTGGCCCCAGAGTCCCATCTCTTCTCCCCTTAGCCCTGGGTGTAACCCCCTAGGCACCTCCAAGAAAAGTCAGCACCCCCATCACCAGCCCCAGGCCTCCCCCTACAGATGAGTTTGTACTCCTGCCCACAATGTAATTTCAGTAACACATTGTCAACATAGTGTAAATTCTGTAATTTTGAGTTATTTCCTCACATGCTACTTAGACATCCAAATCCACTATTTGGATTTGTAGAATTGTATTAGAATGAAAGAAAAATATCACTAGTAAAATATTAGCAAGCTCTGGCAGATTTTGAGCCTACCTACTTTAAACATCATTTCATAGAATAACATTCTCCAGGAACCAAATGATAAAAAGTTTGAGTTGGTTACAAATGGAATTGAACCTGCATTCTTCCGAGCATTAAAGGGAGCTTGTTTCTTTGGACAGTTGGTCTTGTCTTGGAGAATTTTTTCACCAAGCAAGTTCGCATTGCTACAAGAGTCCGGTTGAAAAGAGCCAACACCAATCTTACTGCGCTGATAGACAGTGACTGCAATGGGGTGTGGGGAGGACTTGATAGTAATGGTGAATGTAGTAACCACATTCATTGTTTTTCTTGTGAAACCTTCATAAGAGTGTATATCTATGATACCTTAATAAAAATTTTAATTAATTTATTAATTTAAAAAAGAACAATTTCAGAAAAGAAAAAAGAGCCGATACCAACCGCTGCCTGTCCTTGCATCCGCGCCGCTGGTTCTGACGGCAGCGCAGTAAGACAGGCTGTCGGCTTCACACCTTCTGGGGGAAGGATCGCAGTACCATTCACTCACCCAGGACGGTACTGGGTGCCCGATAAGGGTAGTGAGGGCAGGGTCTAAGAGCGGCTACTCAGCCTGGCGTTTGCTTTGGCTCCAGGAGAGGACGCAGCCGCGTATCGGTAACCTGGGCAGCAGCCCCTGGGAAAGTGCTGAGGCGGTCTGTTTCCCAGGGCTGCCAGAACCGTGCCACAAACTCGAATGGCAGAAATGCATAGTCTCACGGTTAAGGAAGCTGGAAGTCTGAGATGAAGCTGTCAGCAGGGTTGATTGCTTCTGAATGAGTGAGGGGGAACCTGGTGTGGTCTCTCCCTAAGCTTCTGGGGGTTTGCTGGCAATCTTGGTGTTCCTCAGCTTATAGATGCATCCCCCAATCTCTCCCTTCATCTTCACGTGGCATTTCCCCAGTGTACATGTCTGTGTCCAAATTTCCCCTTTCTGGAAGAACACCAGTCATGCTGGATTAGGGGCCCACCCTACTGCAGTATAACCTCATCTTAATGAATTACATGTGCAAGTATCCACTTTCCAAGTAAGGTCACGTTCTGAGGTACTAGAGGTGATGACTTTAATATATGAATCTGGGGAGGAACACAATCCAGCTCTTAACAAGTGCTCAGCCCAGCATTGCATGCCACTCCACCCGTTTCACCAGGTAGACCACGGCTGCCCCCGAGGCCACAGCCTGAGAGAGGTTGTAGAATTCACCCTGGCCACCTGCCCTCATCCCCTCTCAGATGCAGAGCCCAGCAGCCCAGGCTAGGCCCACATGGCCAACTAGCTGTGATGCAGTGACTTCCCTCTGGCTTTATACCAGTGAACCTCCTTTTACTCCTGCTATAAAGAGGCAGTTGGTCCTTCCATGTGGGCTGAGTCTCAGTCACCATCTGGAGCATTTTTCTTTCACCGTTCAGTTTTCCCTCTGTTCGGTAGGTTTTCAGGGTGCAGGTCATATCCACCTTTGCTGGCTTGATTTAAAGACAGGCTTGGCATGAGGGTCAACTGGATAGGAAGAATGGAACGGTCACTCCTTTTCTTTCTAAGCTGCTTTTAGTCAGTTTCTCATTTCTTCATTTCTTCTTGAAGAGATTTATGTTTAAATAAAGGCCTCTCCCTCACAGCGTAATTCTTCCATCTGCTTGATTCCAACACTGAAGTCTTAACCCTATGTTTGTTTGTCTCCTCACAGCTTGTTGCCATGGGAATGATTATAAGATGGCAAATTTCTATACTAACTTTGAAGCACCCTGAAAGAGATGGAGAAAATGGGCAGGACAGAAATGTGCTCATAGCCAAACACATATCTCTCATTATCAGCAAAAGCACAGTAATATTTAAGTATATGTCAGATGGCTCCCCAAGACAGGATTCCTCTTGTCTAAGGAATACAAGTATTAGAAACCCAAGAATTGGTTTCTCAGGAGGGTGAACCCTTGTATTCACAAATGAAACACTGCTTGGTTCTGAAGAAACATGGTGCCTCCCTGAGCCTGTTGAGAGGCTAAGTTGTTTCTAGAGGTGGTGGCTTGCTTCTTGGGTCCCCATGGCCCACTGAAGACATGCCTGGCATCCTGGAAAAGTGTCTGAGGCTGTGGACTTAGCTCTAATGTCTCTGGGGGCAGATGGGGCACTGATTTGCCTAGCAGCTAGGTGATACTTTCTGTTGTCCTGGGTAGAGACAGGGAAACATCCTAAAGAGATAAAGAGAGAATAGCTTACATTCTTTATTTTTTTCCTGAGAAAAACTGTAATTAAATAACCCAAGTCATATGCTGTATGGAGTACCCAGGAAAAGAGCATCCTGGCCTGAACTCTAGACATTCAAGTATTTGAAGTGAAATTGTCATCATCTGGCTTCATTACTATCCAGGTGCCCAGAGACCTTAGTAATCAACCTAGGACTACATATATGTGCATAGTTTTTAAAGTAAAAACATTCATTTTTCTTCCATAATTTATTTTTTCTCTTTCAGATAAAAATTTATACTCTGGAAGAGCATGATATTTTATCTATTTGGGTTGAAAAGCATGTGGAAAGACCAGCACACTTGGCTTATCATCTCTTGTCAGACTTTACCAAGCGACCTTTGTGGGACCCCCATTATGTGTAAGAATACATTTAAAATATTTTCTTAACCAACCCTGACACATAAAAGGTAATCTCCATAATGCAGTCCATCTCTATTGCCCAACATATGACCCATTGTTTTATTAAATAGCATTTTTTAAAGCTTGCTTTACACAGAAAACTACAAGTGCTATAGAGAGACACAAAACAAAAATCATAATAATTTATTCATCATCTGTATTGAGTTGGCATGCTTGCTCTGTATCTATTGTAATCCCACCAATAACTCTTCAAATCTGATGCAAATTTGGTATTCCTATTTAACAAGAGAGAGTCTCCGAGACTTGCCAAGATTACACAGGCAATACAGTGACAGGAACTGAATTGGAAGCCAGGTCTGTCAGGCTCTGAATTCCACACTCTTGTATTTTCAAATACAATTTCATTGTTCTTGAGGAAGTAATTATCAAATTGTCCTTCCCACTTCCCACTCTTGATATTTAATTAATAGTTCCTTCTTTTTCTGTGAAGCAGCACTCCTGGTGAGCAGCTGACAGGAAGCTGTGTGAGTTCTGAGGTGAAAGGCCTTCCTTCCTGCCTTCTGATCCTCTCCCTTCTGATCAGGGCCATGCGCCTTGTCCACTGCACTGACCCACACTGATGGCACTCAGGCCATGCCCCCTTCTCCAGGGAGTCTGGCTTCTGGGCTACAGCTCTCAGTGCCTCACTGGACACCTTGTTGAAAGGGAAGGATTGGTGAAATGGGCTTCTTAATAGATAAAGCATTACCATTTACTTCCTAATCTTGACAAGATTGAGGTTTAGCTTTAAAATGGCTAAACCTCATTATGATTAATGCTGTGTAATAGACAATTTTACCACTAAAGTGAAACACCTCTGGGGTCATGTGTTACATTTACATCCATCCATCATGGTTAATGCTATGATAATAAACACTCTGAGAGAAGAGAAAACACCTCATGATTTTCTTGTATATGTAGATACTCTGTAAGTACAAAGCTTTTAGCAAGAACAATGCCTAAACTTTGATGTTAATTCTTTTCATGTGCAGAGGAATGAATGAATGAATTCTAATTCAACTTACTTTTCTTGTGCACCTACTATGGTTTAGGTATTGTACCAAGTATTTTCATTTAACCCTCATAATAATCCCATAGGTATCATTATCTACGTTTTACAAATGAAAAAAATCAAATGACTTGCCTAACATAACATAGCTACTAAGTGACAATCTGGGATACAGAGGCAAGTTGATCCCAAACTTAGTGCTCTTTTCAATATCCCATATTCGTTTATGGAAGAGTCCTTCTTAGGCTGTCCTTATAACATACTGGTCTTCAAACTATTGATAATACAGAAAAATAATTTTGTGGCAAACAACTAAATGCCTTTCTCTGAAGTATTGAAGGCAGTGACCTTAGAATCTAATGGCCACCATTCTCTCCATCATATGCGTAATCATTCTTTCTAACTAAACAGCTTTCTAAAGATGGACTGTGAAAAACACTGCTGGCTTTGGAAGGATGGTTATGCGAACAGAAGGGTGAATGTGGACATCAGTGATCAAGTTATGCAAACAAACAATAGAAGTGAGTGCTTTACTCTAGCAGAGAGAAAAGTGCAGCCTTTCTTTTCACGGTTCTGTTTCCATAGGTCCTGTGAAGTCATAGATTGGGTGGGTGAAGATGATCAGATATACCATATCACTTGTCCCATAGTAAATGGCGACAAACTCAAAGACTTGGTAGTACTTGTATCACGAAGAAGGCCTCTCAAAGATGGGTGAGTACATGCAATTCAAGTGTCATTGCAATGATTTATAGTATAGAGTAGAAAGAATAAGTTGATATGAAAATAAGGAAGGAAACATATGCATTTCTGATCGTGTTCATCTGAATATTTTCTAGGACCTTTAATTATCATTAAAAAATCATTTATTAAATGCCACCTGTATGCAAAGTGCCATGCAAGATTCCTAAAGCAGTTCCCTTTCCTTTTGTGCTATAAACATTTAAAACCATGCATACTTAGCAAATCATTGAGACTTTCCATTATCAGTAAGTAGTGAAAGCCAAATAAAACACCAGGAATTGGTTTAGAATTTACAAAGACCCAATTGTGCTAGACCTCCAAAATGACTAGCTGCCAACAAGGGCTGTCCATCAGAGTGTCTGTGCGTGATTTTTCTGTGGGCACTGGACTTCTGGGAGTACCTGGTCTGGGTTCTAAGGGGAAGTGTCCAAAGAGACAAGAAATGGAAGCTGCCAGAACAGTTAAGATCTACACTTGGACAGTTCCAAGTGTCATTTCTAATGTCAAAACTGGCCTATAGAAATAATCCCACACATATATGATATTAATGCACATGGATGTTTCAGTACAGTATAATTTATTATGGCAAAAGAAGTTAGCTATAAACAGAAGGTCTATCTTATGAATTACGGTAGAGCCATACTGCAGAGGATGAAGTAACTATAGAGGCACTGATACAGAAACATCTTAAAAGATTTATTGGTAGGTAAAAATTCAAATTGTGGAGCAATATTCATAAAATGTTAATATTTATGTAAAAATCTATGTATGTGCATTTGCTTACATAAATGTTATATATTTATAAAAAAGGTCTGGAGGGATACATATTGAAATGTCAATAGTCATCTCTAAAATGGGAGAGCATTGTGCTAGGGTGGACTGAAGGAAGACTTCTGTTTTTTAGTCTATAGGGTTCTCTTTTGTTCAAGGGTTCCTTAGAACAATTTCTATTTACTTTTAAGTGAAAAAGAAGAGACT